CTGAGACTCTTGTTCATCAGTAAGGCTAGGATCTGGAGAGAGCCCCTCAGTGGTGAACCAGAAAGACAGCCTCAGGAAGTGCATGGGATTGTGTGCACTTGGCCTGTCACTGGGCTCCTGACAGACATATCATTCATCTCTGGCTGGCAGAGGAGCTTGGCCTGAAGGCTGTTCTGGAATAGGAACCCAGTGGTAGGAGATGCTGGGGCTCTGGATGCTAGACACTAGGAGTTTGCTTCTGGCCACCAGGGGGAGCTGATGCAGCGCAGAGGGAGGACTGGTGTTGAGGTTGGGTCTGATCTATCAGCTTGCTTCAGGATCTAGGTGTTAGGCCAGCCTCCAAAGGCTTATTTGTAGGATGGCCCTGGGAGGGACAATGAAAGGTATTTAGGGGCCCATAGTTGACCATGACCTGGACTCCAAGATTAAGACCTTTTCATGGCAGGTGGGGCCGTCAAGACCACTCCAACCTGTTGGGAGACTCTTTGGGGAAGACAGAGAACTTCCCTGGGACTGGGAGAGGATTGAAGGACACAAGCCTGGCTTTAGACCATGGCATCAGCATCCAAGATAGGAAGCTGTAGGGCACAGAAGGAATGCTGTGCCATAGCGCTTCTTGGCCCAGCTCATGGGGGCTTCCAGCTTGGGTCTCCTGCAGCTAGGTTTGCCAGATTTAGTAAATAAAAATACTTAGCAAATATTTCATGGGACATACTTATACTAAAAACATTACCTATTGTTTACCTGAAACTGAAATTTAACCGGGTGTCCTGTCTTTTATCTGGGAAAGGGCAGAGCTACCTATCGAGGGGCCGAGAAAGAAAATGAGGAGAAACCATGGATCCCTCCTAAAGGTAAACAGTATCTAACTCCAAAGGAAAAAGGGGTGACCCTTGGTGTGGCTGTGGGCTTTATCTAAGGGACAAATGGTCCCTAAAAATGGTTAAGAAAGAAGCTTCAGGAAAAATGAACAGGACAGAGGGAAGTGGGTAAGAGTAACAGGACAAGGTCCTGGGCATACACCACAGAGGCTCTGGGAGGGGCAAGGGTGGGGTCTGCATGTGTTACACTGAAGTGTCTGCGTCCTTGATTGTGTGTGCGTGTAAATCTCAGGGAGGTATCAGATTTGACTTGTTGCAGGGAAAACCTTTCTTTTAACAGACTGCTATCCAATTCTGGAAGAGGTCGCTTTGTGAAATCAAGAGCTCCTGTCTTGGGAGCAAAGATGCTGTAAATTATCATTGTCACTGAAAAAAACCCATTGTAGTCTCCTCTCTCTTGTCTGTGTCTACGTCCCTTCTGATGTCCTTCATGCTTGATGGACTCATTCAAATAAGCATTTTTCTTCTGCAGTCAAGCTGTATTCCATGTGACTGGATAAACATTACTGAGCACCTACTGTTTGCTGGGCTCCGTGCTGGGGCTATGGAGGAGGGAGACACAGATGCCATGTCCACAGAGCTCACAGTTTCATAAACCAATAATTTCAAGAGCAACAGCAGAAGTGTTTACCAGCTGCTGAGGCCCTTGATTTTAATTAGAAAGAGACAAATGGCAAGAAAATTGCTGTAGCTAAGGTGCTAATGGTGATAATTGTTATTACAGGAAGCTGATGTTTATTGGATATTTAGTATTGAAATCTATGTTCTTTCCATGTATTAACTCAACGATAATCACAACAAGCCCTTGATGTAGGTGTCGTTAGATTCCCCATTCCCGAGATGCAGAAACCGAGGTAGGGGAACTGCCCAAGTCACAGAGCTGATCAGTGGTGAGCCAGGATTTGACCAGGGTGACCTGACACCCCAGCCTGCCCCCCTCAGCGGGACCTGGACTTCTCCATCGTGCCAATGTATCCACCTATACAACTGCCTACTTGAATTCTTCTCTCAATGTCTCTCAGACCCTCTACTTTAGCATGTCCAAAATGGAACTTTCTATTAACTCATCTATCCTCCACCCTCCAAACTTGTCCCTCAGTTATCCCATCTCAGTAAATGGCATCATTGTCTGCCTAGGTGCTCAGGCCAGAACCTTCTCTCACGCCCACATCCATTCTATCAGCTGCTGATTTTGCCACGTGAATACCAAGTTCTAAATCCATCCACATGTCTGCATCTCTGCTGCCCCTACCCTGGTCTCAACAGCACCCATCGCTTGCCTAGACTATTACACGGC